GGTGATCGGTGGACCACAAAGGTCGACTGTCCCAAAGGTTAGTTACCAACATTCGACATCCTAGTAGCCCACGCCCTTTGAACTTTCTAGATTGAAATAGTGCTCGATCGGATGGTTTTTCAAATGCCTTTTGCCTTTCCAGGCTCCGAAGAAGGTGAAGGCACCGAAACGTCAGCCTCATAAAGCTTGTTAATACCTCGGTTCTACAGCCTACAACTTAACTTCAAAACTAAAGGAAGAATGCCGAGATTCATCGACAGTCGCACAAGGACACTAATTATAGTATATTCAAACCGCTGATTCACCTGCACCACCAAGACCTAGTATCCTTGCCTTGTGAGAAGGAAGGTGCGCAAACTTAACAGTTTGCCATGCTCGACTCGCCAGTGACATCTTTGAGCTCACGGCGGCACTCCCTATGCGTGATCTACAACTTCATAAAAAATCGGCAGCATGGTCGCATCAACGTTGTCTCTTCCAGGCCTTACTGAATTTATTAGGTTGAGTCATAAGCCCTCGGACAAAAAGATAGTGATGTCTTCTAGTGATCATAAGTCGGGAAAGAGATGACGAAAATGGACGCGCGTGGCATCGTTAGATAGAATATGAAAAGCTCTTCCAAATACATACTAACGAACATATCTAAGGGTTTCCTTTACTGCAACCATGCCCCATGATTTCAAGCTGTCGCAACTCCATCTCCGCAACACCACTCTATTTCTTTTTTTATTTGGCCAAGAACCCGCGGAGATCGCTGGACGTATGAAGGAGGTTTACAAGAAGGTTGCTCCTGCCAGTTGCACAATTTACAAGTGGCACTCGAAGTTCACGTCGGACAACTATTCCATCGAAGATGAAGACCGTCCGAGACGCTCAATGGAGTTGGATTTGGACGTGCTGCGGAGCCAGGTGGAAGCTGACCCGTATCAAACTATTCTTGAACTGGCAGTCACTCTTGGTGATTCAGTCCACAATTATTCGTAGGTTGAAGTCGATCGGCAAGGTGCGAAAGTTCGGTCGATGGGTGCCTCATGCTCTCACGCTCAAGCGCAGGAATGGGTCAGGTGTATTCATTGGTATGTATTTAGAAGAGCTTTTCATACTCTATCCAACCATGCCTCGCGCGTCCATTTTCGTCACCTCTTTCCCGAGTTATGATCTCTAGAAGTCATCACTATCACATTGTCGAGGACTTATGACTCAACCTAATACTATGGAGACCTTTCGTATTCTGCTTAACATTCACTTCAGTCTACTGCAGAGCCCACAGCAACAGGATGTAACTGTAAGGTCGACAAGAGTGTACGACCATGGACATTGTAAAATGATTTTGAAAACTGCGGGAGACCCTCCAGTCAGCTGTAGCGCTTGCGGAGGGAGTTGAATGGGTTCAAAAGACAAGACCGGCAAAATAAAAAAAAGTATTATATGAGGTGGGCACAACCATATGCGAGACTAATTAAAGGTCAGAAAAATCTCGCAACATTCAAACTTCGCAAAATTCTTTACCCTCACAGCAAGCCTTTGCCAGGTGTTTTCAAAAGATGAAGGAGTATTTCTATGCAATTGTGTGTAGAAAAAGTGTTCAAACTGATTAAGGAGGTGCTTTGAGCGTTTTGAAAAAAAAACTGCTACAAAAGAAAATGTGATATTTTATGGTCTAAAGGAGTGATACGGTACAATATCAAGCTACAGTTGAGTCACGATGAAGTGATCGCGCTCAACAACTTCCACATGATGAATAATAAAAAAAACCAAATAGGAATACGACAAACGACCCAGGTTCTCCTATACTTCTACAAACAGCCTTACTAACCACTAAATCACTCTCCACGAATGTAGTTACACTGGACCTCATAGACGTAGTTCCACCGCTTTCTTCGTGTTGACGGCTTGGGGAGACCACCATCATAACCCAGAAAATCATTTCGCAAATCCGGAAAACAGTACCGAGTTCAACATTCACTTGTTTGTGACATAAGGTCCCATCTCGATCTATGAACTTTCCCTAAACTGTGTCTAGCACTACATGAAAATTATAGAGCAGAAGAAAAGGTCAATAATATTAGGGCGACCAACGCTTGTCTTGTACTGATCCGCATTCCCCATGTAGCAACACTTCCATGCTAGTTCAACTTACCGAGATCTATCTGTTTAGCAACATAGACAGCAAGGCATCTCAACGATGATGGGGTATAAGCGAAAAGAAAACAAAGACTACATTCATATGCTCAACAGAACAACCGTTGTTTATGACAGCATTGCGGCCTGCAATATGCTCATAAACGATGCTGAGCTACTAGGTTGGTGATGTTGGGCTCAAGAAGTGGAAGAGCACCATGGTGAGTGAAAAGCTGACGTAGCCATCAACGTTAGAGACGTAGGGCACAGTTGAAATGCTAGATAAATTGGTCACAGCACAGTTGCTCACTGATAGAGCAGTGAGAGGAGCGGAAACGAGTGGCCCTTCCGGCTGCATTTTACCGATTAGCTCTTAAAATGAAATGAATGAAAAGGAAATACGTAAGGATAAAGAATCAAAGTTTTCAAATATAGAAGATGGATTATATATAGTAAGGATAGCATTTGATGAGGTTTTGGCTGCAGAACGCATTAGAATGAGAACTAGCTCTGTCTTTTAGCTACTGTTTCATGAAGCTCGTTTCAAAGAAAGAGGTGCGACGTTCTTTTTTCATTTTATAGGTTATATTACTTTGCAAATTCATACAACATTGAAAGATTGAAGCGACCCGATTTGATAAGTCGCCCAGCTCACGAGAAAAGAAGACATCTAGGAAAAAGGAAAGAGTTGTAGAAAAATAGTTTAGAAGCCACAGACCCACATGATCTCCAGGTAGGAAGTTCTGCGAACAGAACACGTAACCGTGTGTTGGTTACTGATTTTGTTGGGTTTCTATTCTGGTCAATCGTGAAACTAGCACGGATTCCAAAAAGTCTTAAATCTTTAATGAAGGTCTGACTCCAATGCAAAGCAGGCCGCAACAGCACGAGCAAGCCCGAATGCCTGCCTCAATGTGGTGCTATTGATTAGACGGCGTGCTACCACCACATGCGCCAAGTCTCTATGCACTTCTTCTCTCTGTAGTGATCATATTCTTACGCTACCAGCTCATCCCCTTGATTGAAAACATTGGCGATTTCACAATTAAGCACACTGGAAGAATCTGGTCGGATTTACACCAAGCATACAGCAGCCTGATTCTGAAAAACAAATGAATTGACCCACCTGAGAAACAAGGAGGGGGAGGGGAGTCAACAAGACACGGAAAGTTTAGCAGTTAAACGTACACTCAGAACCTTTCGTACGGCTTGAAAAAGTTCTCGCACGCATTCGTTCATACGGTGTTTGTTTGTACAGGGGCTGGCTTTCTGACACTTATGTTCTCGTTTCTGGGACTACTTGCTTTAAGGATCATGCTTTACGTGCATCAACGTCTGTCTACAAGATAGATTCATCTGGAACTTTAAGTAATCTTTAATTTGGGCTCGTTACGAATTCGAAATGACTACCGCATCTTTACGGGTAGCTCAGTGGGGAAGAACTTAAACAACAAAATCAGACAAACCCTACGTGTGAGCGGTTGCGTCGCGGTTTCGCGCTACAACACGGTATTTTGGGGTGTCTTGGCACTGCGGGAGACCTTGATGACAGAAGATTTCCTCTTTCATAACTCTGCTTATTGGTGGTTGCGGAACGCGTTCGAAAACGTTATTCTAAGGTGTTTCCTAATTGTAGGAAGTAACTTTCTACAATCAATAAGCTGTTAAACTACGGTTTGGTGACGTATGTCTCTTTTCCTGCATGTTTCCCCGTTCATGTTTCTTCCAAGACCAGTGGTGGGTAGTTACCCTTCCCTAGTGAATGGCAAGTGAACACTGTTATGTGTTTTATTACTGTTGCATGCTTCTTGGTTTGTGTTTCTTCTGAGATAACTGCCGAGTAACGACCTTCACTGATAGAGCGTTGAAACCTTATTTAGGGGTATGCCAACGTCTGTACGATTGATTGACACAACTCATCCAATCGAAAGAGGCTATGGATGACGGCATTCAAGCCAAACAGAGGTCTCAATAACATCCACACGTTGTGTGTAATCGCCAGCGGCTGTGCAGAAAATAGAGAAGCTGATTAGATGGAGAATGAAACAAAGGCAAGGCATGAGGGCAGGAGGCGATCTTAATTAGGTGTGGAAACGCTTGATCACTGCGCTCCTCCATATCTGTATGCAGCAAGTGAAAGTTATTGAATGAAGAGAATAACAGCAGTGAAGAGCCAAAGCTTCAATAAAAAAAACCAGGTTTCTCAGCAGAAGACTTCCCATTACAACTGGCTAAGAGTGTTGATTTTGTGCAAAATAAAAAAAGCAATAAAGACGCGGTTCATAGCTCTTCAAGATATTCAGTTTGGTTTCGCATTTCACCTTTCACCTGTACACGCACAAAAACAGAATTCCTAACCAGCACTACTAAAACTTTTCCAGTTCATAATTTTTCTCATGATCCTTTACCTTCTTACTGTTGCCATTTCCTTCAGTTTTTTAGCATTCACTCGCTTGATAAAGATATGCAGACAGCATAATGAAAATGTAGCCTTCAATTGTACAAAGAATGACATAACCCAAATCAAGGTTCAACACTCTATCAGTGAAGGTCGTTACTCTGCAGTTGTCACAGAAGAAACACAAACCAAGAAGCATGCAATAAAAATAGAAACACATAATAGTGTTCACTAGCCATTCACTGGGGGGGGGG